TGCTCCGTGCCGAACTCCCGCTCGTTAATCACCAAGGCCTTCGCCAGGAGCCGCTTCTTTTCTCGATGATCTCCGAGAGCCCCGCAGGCATTCGCCAAATTGTTCAGCGTCTTGGCAACTTCTGCGCTCTCTGGGCCATAGGCCTGTTCCATGGACTTACACAGCCGCTCAGCCAGATCGCGTGCCTCCAAGGCTTGCCCGGTTTGGAGGCAAAGTGATGCCAACCGATGCTGCCAACCCATGGCTTGCGTAGACATCTCTCCAAAGTAAGAGACGGCCAGCGTATGACTGAGCTGTGCAAGGGGCAATTGGCACCAGGCTTCCTGCTTTCGCAGCTCTTTGTTCTCGCGCTGCTGCAACTCTTCGATCCTTGTCAGCACAGACTCAGCATGACGAGGATCCAGAAGCCCCGGATCTTCCAATGAATCCATCAGCTGCTGCTGCCCGTCAGGACCGTGGATTCTGAAGGCCCGCACGCACAGCGAGGCATCGCGTGCCAGCTCCTCAGGGGTGTCCGCTAGAGGCTCGATGAATGTCTATAGGGCTAGTTTCGAAGAAGGAACCCTACACTATACCAGCCGAAAACGGGTTCGTCAAACATGGTAGTACGTTGGAACGACTCTGGTCCTCCCACTTTGCAATCCGTGGCGGATGTCCTGGCATGCCCGGCACGAAGACGTGTACGAGCTCTGGCCTCTGCAGGTAGCCGAACTCCCACATGCAGGCCACGGAGTTGAAGTAGGACCGGGTGAGGTTCACGATGAGGATCCCGTGCTTCGTGGCTTCGGCGGCCCTCTTGTAGTGCAAAAACCACGGGGGCAGCTCCCCTTCCTTTCGTTGGGCCATGGTGCGGGGCCCCTCCTCCCCGAAATGGCCCAACCCCAGGGACTTGTCTGTGCAAAAACTCATGGGCCGCACTTCTCCAACAAACTCACATCCCTCCTGCAGCATCCTGAGCGTTGCATTGTTGGCTTCTGCATCGCCAGTGGTAAACGAGATGAGGAAATCAGCCTCGCTGGCCAGCGTCTTGGCTTCAACCTCCCGTCTCACCTGCCAGCCAACGGGCTTCCACTTTCGCAACATCTCCAGCCGCTTCTTCGTTTCCGGGTCCCCTGCTAGCTGGTCGGCTCTCTGGTAATCTGCCTGGTAGTCCTGGTCGTCTTGATGTGCTCCAGGAGTCTGCGTCAACTCCTTCGCGATACCACGGAGGTTGTACGCCTCGGCGCTTGTGGGGAGAATCTTGATGGCCTCGGTGAAGTAGCCAACGGCCCGCAGGGGCTCGTCTGCACGCAAGCATTCCCAGCCACGGGCGAGGGCTTCCGGGGCTTCCTCGTTCTCTACCTTCGCAAGTTGCCAGGCTGTGCCAGCAGAGTTGCAGACAGCGCTAGAGGAGGCTACTCCTGGACCATCGCCGGAACTTAGAGGCTGCCCCAAGTCTGGGGCTGCGGCGCCCGTCGCAGGCCGCTCTTGCCCGGACTTGAGGCTTTCGCACGAGGCGCTTGCAGCAGCACTTGAGGCGCTGCGGCCCAGCAACCGTGGCAGGCCGGTTGGGTCCTCATCCGCTCCTCCACGGCTGAAGCTGACAGCCAAAGGCGAGGCAACCTCATCGTTGTTCGTGCAGGCAGTGGCTTCTGCACTGCCGCAACAACCCATGGCGTCGGCAAACACAGGGATCCAAGTCCCAGTGCTCTTAATGTATCAGAGTCCTGCATGCGCCATCTCTGGAGTGTGCTAGGGTGACAAAATCTGGAACTCATTTTCCTTGCTGTCTAATCTGTACAATATGCTCTTGACACATGTCTGGTAGATCACCTGGCTAAGACTATTGAGACGCTCCCATCTCCGCAAAGGCATTCGCGTGCGATCGCTTCTTTCGAGTGAATCCTAAATCCTGGTAGCCCCCCCCAAGGCCGAACTCCAGCCGAATCCGAGCCTCGAGCGATGTCTTCTCGCGGGCCACCGGGCCACCCACGGGCCTGGCCAGCTTCCCGCCAGCGGAGGCTTGATTTCGGGGATGCAAGCATGGGGAACCTCGAGGTAGAGGGCGTCTTGCTTCCCTTTGAAAAACAGTACTTTCGATGGCGGCTCGACATGTCTTCAGCCGCCCGCAATATCACTTCACATCCCCACAACAGTGTCCTCGCTCCTCCCCCCCCCTCCTCTACTCTTGGCCCTACAACAGCACCCAAAGATTTAAAACGGGCACTGGGATGTCCCGGCACACTTCTTGTGGAGCACAGGACAAGCCAACAAGGGCGTCTCACAGTCCTGTTCTGTGGGATTGCGTGCTTTGTGTTGCGGTATGACGTCTATACTCCTCACTCGTAACCCCACAAATCACTCGCCGAAGGTGAGCAGGAAGAAAAACCCACGTGTAACCCAAAGGGAGTGACATAGGGATGATTCTGCTACATCTTATGCGGATTCCACCCTGTGCTGGGAAGGATGCCCGGCACAATGCCTTTGGGTTAAGCGGCAAGTTAACTAACAGAGTTCTCTCTCCCTACTGTCATTGGGTCGTGTTCC